CTTCTTCGATTTCTGGCTCTCTACTGTAATCCAAGGGTTATTTTCGTTCCCAACAGGAGTCAACTGCTGAGTTAACCTCCCAGAGGAATCTGGTGAGCTAACTGGAACAGGTATTTGCGGAAGAGTTGAAGAGCTCCCAGGAATCCCTGATGACCCTTTCAATGCATCCACAAAACTCACTGCTGAGTTCCAATTTGATGGGGAGAGAGATACCCTTACCCAAGCTTGGACCATTAGCAGAATTATCAGAATAATAGGTTGAGTACCTTCATGAGACTCGACATCCTTCAACCCTGACACAACTTCCTCAGGACTAACTTCACCATCAACTACTTCTACTACTTCAGCCTTTATCTTAGGCACCCATTTCTTCCCCTGCTTACTGAGCCAATCACAATCATGACCATAGATCGCACAACGCTCACAAATGATAGGTTTATTCAAGAATTCCACCTCTACCTCAAACGAAGGGTCCTCATCAGGGTAGAGCTTTACCCTCTCTGGAAATCCGCAGTCTGCAGCAAGGTCCAGACACACCTTGGCGAAACCTAATTGCCCTCCAATCCGAGTCGACTGATCCATCCACAACGGTCTACCGATCAGGGGCGGAGCCATGTGGTCCCTCGGGAGGGCCCCGACCCCCCGAGAATTACGTATAAATTTGTGTTTCTTTTATAATAAAATGTTGTCTGAAAAATATCACATTAAGATTCTCATAGTCTAGCGGAAGAAATTGATTCTGGAAGTATGTGGGTGTGAGTTCGATTCCCCCAGGAAGCTATCTTTATGTTTTTACTAACTTGTTCGTTTGAAGCGATCTTTCTATAATTTTACCTTGTTAGTTTCAGTTAGTTTAATTTGTGCATTTTAGTTCATTTTTTTCAACTTTCAAATACGCATTCTTAAGAATCCTTTTGGTTGTATGACTAATTACATATTTTTCCAAATAATAGAGACCATTCATTTTCCGATTATATAAACAATAAGTAACATTTTACACGATAAACGGTATGATTATTTATTTATTTTTACTTTACTCATTTGTTTTGAACATAATGTTTAGAAACTTAGTCTTAAATTCTAATTTCGATGATTTTTCTATAATTTTACCTTGTTAGTTTCAGTTAGTTTAATTTGTGCATTTTAGTTCATTTTTTTCAACTTTCAAATACGCATTCTTAAGAATCCTTTTGGTTGTATGACTAATTACATATTTTTCCAAATAATAGAGACCATTCATTTTCCGATTATATAAACAATAAGTAACATTTTACACGATAAACGGTATGATTAGTTATTTGTTTTTACTTTACTCATTTGTTTTGAACATAATGTTTAGAAACTTAGTCTTAAATTCTAATTTCGATGATTTTTCTATAATTTTACCTTGTAAGTTTCAGTTAGTTTAATTTGTGCATTTTAGATCATTTTTTTCTTATGTTTTTACTAACTTGTTCGTTTGAAGCGATCTTTCTATAATTTTACCTTGTTAGTTTCAGTTAGTTTAATTTGTGCATTTTAGTTCATTTTTTTCAACTTTCAAATACGCATTCTTAAGAATCCTTTTGGTTGTATGACTAATTACATATTTTTCCAAATAATAGAGACCATTCATTTTCCGATTATATAAACAATAAGTAACATTTTACACGATAAACGGTAAGATTAGTTATTTGTTTTTACTTTACTCATTTGTTTTGAACATAATGTTTAGAAACTTAGTCTTAAATTCTAATTTCGATGATTTTTCTATAATTTTACCTTGTTAGTTTCAGTTAGTTTAATTTGTGCATTTTAGTTCATTATTTTCAACTTTCAAATACGCATTCTTAAGAATCCTTTTGGTTGTATGACTAATTACATATTTTTCCAAATAATAGAGACCATTCATTTTCCGATTATATAAACAATAAGTAACATTTTACACGATAAACGGTATGATTAGTTATTTGTTTTTACTTTACTCATTTGTTTTGAACATAATGTTTAGAAACTTAGTCTTAAATTCTAATTTCGATGATTTTTCTATAATTTTACCTTGTTAGTTTAATTTGTGCATTTTAGTTCATTTTTTTCTTATGTTTTTACTAACTTGTTCGTTTGAAGCGATCTTTCTATAATTTTACCTTGTTAGTTTCAGTTAGTTTAATTTGTGCATTTTAGTTCATTTTTTTCAACTTTCAAATACGCATTCTTAAGAATCCTTTTGGTTGTATGACTAATTACATATTTTTCCAAATAATAGAGACCATTCATTTTCCGATTATATAAACAATAAGTAACATTTTACACGATAAACGGTATGATTAGTTATTTGTTTTTACTTTACTCATTTGTTTTGAACATAATGTTTAGAAACTTAGTCTTAAATTCTAATTTCGATGATTTTTCTATAATTTTACCTTGTTAGTTTCAGTTAGTTTAATTTATGCATTTTAGTTCATTTTTTTCAACTTTCAAATACGCATTCTTAAGAATCCTTTTGGTTGTATGACTAATTACATATTTTTCCAAATAATAGAGACCATTCATTTTCCGATTATATAAACAATAAGTAACATTTTACACGATAAACAGTATGATTAGTTATTTGTTTTTACTTTACTCATTTGTTTTGAACATAATGTTTAGAAACTTAGTCTTAAATTCTAATTTCGATGATTTTTCTATAATTTTACCTTGTAAGTTTCAGTTAGTTTAATTTGTGCATTTTAGATCATTTTTTTCTTATGTTTTTACTAACTTGTTCGTTTGAAGCGATCTTTCTATAATTTTACCTTGTTAGTTTCAGTTAGCTTAATTTGTGCATTTTAGTTCATTTTTTTCAACTTTCAAATACGCATTCTTAAGAATCCTTTTGGTTGTATGACTAATTACATATTTTTCCAAATAATAGAGACCATTCATTTTCCGATTATATAAACAATAAGTAACATTTTACACGATAAACGGTAAGATTAGTTATTTGTTTTTACTTTACTCATTTGTTTTGAACATAATTTTTAGAAACTTAGTCTTAAATTCTAATTTCGATGATTTTTCTATAATTTTACCTTGTTAGTTTCAGTTAGTTTAATTTGTGCATTTTAGTTCATTATTTTCAACTTTCAAATACGCATTCTTAAGAATCCTTTTGGTTGTATGACTAATTACATATTTTTCCAAATAATAGAGACCATTCATTTTCCGATTATATAAACAATAAGTAACATTTTACACGATAAACGGTATGATTAGTTATTTGTTTTTACTTTACTCATTTGTTTTGAACATAATGTTTAGAAACTTATTCTTAAATTCTAATTTCGATGATTTTTCTATAATTTTACCTTGTAAGTTTCAGTTAGTTTAATTTGTGCATTTTAGATCATTTTTTTCTTATGTTTTTACTAACTTGTTCGTTTGAAGCGATCTTTCTATAATTTTACCTTGTTAGTTTCAGTTAGTTTAATTTGTGCATTTTAGTTCATTTTTTTCAACTTTCAAATACGCATTCTTAAGAATCCTTTTGGTTGTATGACTAATTACATATTTTTCCAAATAATAGAGACCATTCATTTTCCGATTATATAAACAATAAGTAACATTTTACACGATAAACGGTATGATTAGTTATTTGTTTTTACTTTACTCATTTGTTTTGAACATAATGTTTAGAAACTTAGTCTTAAATTCTAATTTCGATGATTTTTCTATAATTTTACCTTGTTAGTTTCAGTTAGTTTAATTTGTGCATTTTAGTTCATTTTTTTCAACTTTCAAATACGCATTCTTAAGAATCCTTTTGGTTGTATGACTAATTACATATTTTTCCAAATAATAGAGACAATTCATTTTCCGATTATATAAACAATAAGCAATATTTTACACGATAAAAGGTATGATTAGTTTTTTTTTTTTACTTTACTCATTTGTTTTGAACATAATGTTTAGAAACTTAGTCTAAAATTCTAATTTCGATGATTTTTTTTTATCTCAAATAATGTATTGTGTCTTAAAGGTAATAATAAAAAATTATCGCACTTTTAGTTATTCTACTTATTATTTTTTCTCCTTTTCGAAATCATACACTACATAACTTCGTCCCCCCCCCCCCCACCGTCAAATCCTAGCTCCGCCCCTGCTACCGATCGTACTAGCTATCCACCTTAGCGAAACCTTATTTCCTTTCAAAATTAATTTTTTATGTCGACGTGGCAGGTGGTGTGTACATTGACTAACGGTCAACTGGTTTGGCCGTCTAATTTGACGGTCAAACCCGCCTCCAGGCCAAATGAGGAAGTTTGCTACATAGTTCAGGCCATAGTAGCAATTTTCAATACCACGGCCAAAGTGGGAAGTCTGTGTATAGTTCGGGCCAAACTAAGATATTAACCCTTAAATTTAATTCCATTAAATATAGCCAATACAAATTATTAGGAGAAAAAAAGGAAGATTTTCCATTTACATGAATAACTTACTTTCTTACGTGAATAACCATGATATTACGTGAGTAAATACCAAATAGAGTGAATGAGCAAAATATTACGTGAATTCACAATGAATTCCTCGTATCAACGGTAATAGATTCCTTTATCCTAAAACATGAAGCCTAATTTAATTTTTAATATATACTAGGAAGCGTAACCGAGGCCAGCTCATCTGCATGTCTATCCTCATCACTAATGGTCGCTTAGTTTTATAATAATCAGTATGTGAAATCGTATTAATACCCCTTAACCTCCTTTTAATACAACCGCCATCCTTAATAATAATTAGTCTAGTTTGCTTTTATTTGTCCGAAGCTGCAGCTACTGCACATAAATTCCCCTTGGTATGTGCATGAGTTACAAATGTTCACAACTGCAGTTGGAGGATGCCACCTTGCTGACATGCATGCCAGCATCCTAACTTCATAACTTCCCCTCTCCAAACAACAATGTGACTGTGACAGAGACCTCACTTTCTCGTGTGTTGGTTTTTGTTTCATTTCATCTCTTGGCCGGGCGAAGAACGTCCAAATGGTGGGAATCACTCAATCAGGGTCCGGGATCCCCGTCGTCGATCTCTCCCCTTTCCTCGCCGCCGCCGCCGAAGACGAGAATATGGCCGTCGAGAAGAAGAAGGCGATGGAGGCGGTGAAAGAAGCATGCTCGGAGTACGGATTGTTCCAGATAGTAAACCACGGCGTCCCCACCGCACTCATTGACCGAGCCCTCCAACTTTCCGCCGACTTCTTTGACCTTCCCGACGGCGAGAAGCGCAAGTTCACGAGCAAACCAGCTGGCGGCGCTGCGTTGCCGTCGGGATACAACCGCCGACCTTTCCATTCCCCCGAGAAGAACGAGTTCCTTCTCATGTTCCACCCTTCCTCCCCCTTCAACGTCTACCCTACCAACCCTCCCCACCTCAGGTAACATTTAATTTGTTAACCCTACGTACGTGCATGCATGTAACTGCGGCACGAAATTTAACTTACGTGCATGTGATAGGGAAGTGATGGAAGAGGTGTTCGTTTGGCTGAGCAAGACAGGATGGTTGATGGAGGGCATAATCAACGACTGCTTGGGTCTCCCCGCCGGATTCCTCCAGCAGTTTAACTCCGACAGGAAAGGGGATTTCATGAGTATTCGTCGGTATTTCCCGGCGGCGGAGGACGAGGACAGAGGCCTCACGGCCCACCAAGATGGCAACTCCGTCACCTTCATCTTACAAGACGATGCCGGAGGGTTGGAGGTGTTAAGAAACGGAGAGTGGATCCCGGCCACTCCTACGCCGGGCAGTATCATCGTCAACATCGGGGACGTGATCCAGGTTTTGTACTACTCGATCAGCATGATGATACTTAATTCACGTATAAAAGGGACATATATGTATATTCCATTCTTACGTCATAATAATGTTAAATTTGGTGAAGGTGTTGAGCAACAACAAGTTCAAGAGCTCCATGCACAGGGTGGTGAGGCCCAAGGGAAGAAGCCGCTACTCGTTTGCATTTTTCTACTGCTTGCCGGCGGAGAAATGGGTGGAGCCATTGCCGGAGTTCACGGAGAAAGTAGGGGAGCTACCTAAGTACCGCAAGTTTCAGTTTAAAGAGTACACTCAACTTAGGATGAGGGATGTGATGGATCCACCTCAAAGGCCCGAAGATTCTGTCACAATTACCCACTACTCCATCAACTAAGTCGAAATCCCATTGAGTTACCTCATAATCATCCTGTTGTTGATCCCTTGTTTGAAGTAAAATAATCAGTCCTGTGTGTAGTTATTGTAGGTTGTTGTTACTTGTCTTAAGTTTCTCTCTGCTGGGAATAATTTTGTCATTCGCTAACGTCTTTTCTTTTAGATGGGGGAAACAAACAAAAGCATTAATAAAGGAAAACGACCTACAGCTAAGCCTTTCTACCATGTTTTTAGAGGTGAAATACTAGTGTATGTGAGATCACTACATGGTGAAATACTCATATAGTGTATGTGAGAGCACTAAGTGGGGGCATGTTTACAGTGCTCTTTATTTACTATTCACTCAAAAATGACGCATGTGGGATCACTACAAACTATGGGGAAAAGAAAATGAGTAAAACAAGACCAACTCTAACTATTTAGGCCAGGAGCAGAGTATGCGAGGAGCCTGCAAACTATGCGTCTATTAAATGCTCATGGATGAACTAGTTGTGATTTAGTTAAGAAAGTACTCGAGAAAAGACTAAATATGTTTTGATAGAAGAGGAAAATGTATCAATAATGGAAGAGACAAACACTATAAATAAAATATCATCTGTTACGACTCAAGTCATGACATTCACCCCCAAGCCTTGAAACATTGAAAACTCCTTCAGAATTTTGACAAATGTCACGACCTAACAACCTTAGTCATCTCCTAAGCCGTGACATTTTTTAGTCACGACGTGAAGACGGGGTTATCAGAATGAAATAATGCATATTGCAAGTGACTAGGACAGTGTCGAGTATAAACTGATTTGCAGCTAGCATTCCGAAGCGAGATCCAACTTATGGCATCTGAAACAAAAAGTGGGAGATCCCTATAGAGAGAATGTGACGAAAGAAACATCCTTTGAGCTGATTTGAGTCATCGTTCCACCATTGGAGCTCAAGATTCGATCCTTGGAGTGACATGCCGCAAGCAGATTATTATCATCATCTTTTCGTCTCTTCTTTTTGTTCTTCCATTTAAAGAAAAGAAAATCATCCATAGAAAGATGAAATTTACGTCCCTGCTCCTCTCCAGAAGAGTCTTCCTAGTCTGCGCGTTCGACGGTTGTCGTTCCTGTTTTGCAGCACAGTCCTCAAAGCTTCTGGGCTTCTGCAAGAGAAATCATCATCACGATTGTCATAAAAAGAATCAAGATAAAACATCTGCTCTTTTTCCATTGTGACTATCTCATAGAATTCTCCATCTTTCTTCTATGCCTCTGGAGTGTTTCGTGTTAGAGAAATCAGTCTGTTGCCTTCAAGGAACTTGCCAAATGCAGGAGCATCCTTCGAATCGTCCTCTAGCTCAACGTCGACTTCATCAGAACTCTAACTCTGTTGCACTGGAGAACTCGATCTCTGTTCAGCCATGATTTGAAGTATGTCTCCTATAGACACCACTTTTTGTCCGGGCTAAAACATATATAATTAAATAAAATTTAGTTTTTTGTTTAAGATTTGCAATAGCGAATCTTAAATGACCTTCTAGGTAAAACATATTTGTAGCGTTTCGATTGAGTCTTGTTTGCCATAACTCAATGAGATTAGCAATAGCAAATCTTATTAGGTATAATTTGGAATAATGCGATTAGGAATAGCAAATCATGGTACAATTTGATAGTGTTGACATGCTTCGATTAGACAAATCAAGCATTTTGGTTGTCGTGTGGGATGATCATATAATTGGCGCTAAGACTTTGGAGCTTGCGATGATTGGGCCTCAATTTTGAACAATAAAAAATAAGTTGAATTAAGAAAAATAAATAAGCATCGTATTAAACTTAATTGGAATTAAATCAAACATAAATAAATTGTTAAATAGTTATTACATTAAATTTACAAACGCAATACAACAATAAAATAAATTTAAGCCTAAATCAAAGCCCAAAACCCAAGTCAATGGTTTAAGCTGGTCAACCTGGTCAACCCAAGTCTGACCAAATTTAGATCAGTCCGACTCAAACCGGTACTGTAGCATACGTGCTCCCCAAGCTGCCTTTCCCTATAAGAGAACCCTTTGCTCTTGCATAGAAGGGATGGGTATTCACTCTTTCCTACTGCTTCCTTCACTAAGCAAAAACAGAGCAGCCACGGCTTCTTCTTCTGCTTCTTCAGACTTGCTTTCCCCCTCTGAATGAGGCTATTTTCTTCTTCTTCTTCTTCTTCTTCTTCTTCTTCTTCTCCTCCTGTGGACAGACTTCTTTTACTTCTTCTTCCTACTCGTTGTTCTTCCTTGCCAGAGGCAGTAGACAGAGACAAGGGGGGTCTCTTCTCTTTTACTTCTACTTCTACTTCATCCAAACGAAACTTTGCAAGAAAAACAGAGTGGACTCTCTGGCTTCTTCTTCTTCCCCACGCCTCTGCTCCCTAAAACGAGATCTTTCTTTCATCCTTCACAAACAACACAAGAAAAAAAGTAATCCTTCCCCATCCTCAAACAAACTCGACAAACACAAAGAAACCAAACCATTCCTCAACTTCTTATCTACAAGCACCACACGATACAAAGATAATCAATTACAGCAACAAAAAGGAAGCAAAGGGGCTGCCAACAAACCCCCAGAAGCTACAAGAGGAAGTAGCCGTGATACCCTTCACCAAACCACAACGTCAAGGTTGGTAATACTATGCCAATCAATCTAAGCATCCTTTTATCATCTCTATTTCTACTTTTTTAAGAAGAGCATCAAGTTCAATTGACATCCCAACCATCACCACAAACAAATTACCATATTAAAATCCCTCATAAACCCCATACATAGCTTCCATATTCAAGCACACATCACACCATAAATTTTCAGCATACCTTTACAATCACCACCAACCGATCCTCTTTTCAAACAACATGAAAACCATACACGAACAACATTACTGCCAACAATTTACAGTTTTGAAGCCACTACAATCCCCAATCTTCGAACCCACCATAACATACCACCAACTTCCACATACCAAACTATGCACAATAACCACAGCTAAACTGAAACACAATTTCCAGCCCCAAAACCATCATAATTTCAGTCGCAAAACCCAACTATACATACACAATCCGCAAACACAGTAGGCATAATCTCAACACACAACTAGTACTTAACTTCAAATTCCGAAAACCCACAAGGAAAGTTCCCCTTGGTTATTGGCGTCGCCGTCGGGGAAGCTCAGAGCTGCCGGCGGTAGCCTTTCCTTACCCTCCTATTGACACTAATTCCGTCTCTTCCCCTCAACTGAACCATTAAACCCATATATCAAAACAGAAAACCCAAATCAGAACCCTTAACAACTAAACCCCCCCACGAAAAATCACGCATGCCCTTAGCTATTAAACTGAATGGCTAAACATCGCCCTAGGTTCTTATTATCGCCCTATTTCAAAACAAAAAAATTACTAAATTATCCTCAATTAATTAAATTAAATTTAAAAACTCTCTTTATTCATTTTTGTTGACGGAAACAAACGGCTATCCAATACTTGCAGCCGCACTATCCGCCAATCCGGCTACCATTCTCCAACTTCAAATGCCCCTCCGCTACCGGCGTTTCCTTTCTTCACCCCCAGTGCATTTTTTTAGAATAAAATCCCCACCACTGTAACCTCCCTGTTATGCATGTCGCCTGAATCACCCCACCTCAGGAATTAAAATCCGAGTCGTGTCTTTCCTATCTCACTTCCCCCGAAATCAACTCCCAGTCGGGTATATCCCTTCACCAAATTGCAGGAATCAACTCATGTGCCCCTTCTCCATGCTGTGATGAGAATGACGATAACATTGATGAAGACGGTTGATGGTAGGAATCAGCGACGGTCGGTAGTGGGAATTAGTGACCGACGATGGGGCGAGGATAATGACGGCGACGGTGATGGAGATGGGTTCAGTTTATTACGGATGTATTTTATTAGAATAAAATTTTTTCTATAATAAAATGAGAGAAGGATAAATAGATAATTTTAGTCGTTTAAATTTGGACGATTATTATAAATCAGGGCGACATTTAGCAATCCCCTATTAAAACCCACTTGCTCTCTCTGCCTCATCGCCATCTCGGCTGGAAACGATCTGTCTCCGTCGCCGATGGTTCCCATCTCCTTCATCCCTTCCGCCACTCTCGTCAGAAACCAAAACAAAAAAAAAACAAAAAAAAAAAAAACAGGGTCAGAACCCTAAAAGTTTCCCAAAAATCAAAATCAAACCGTGAATAAGAGCATGCATTGACCCGGAACTTACCGTCGATCGAGGCCCTCGCCGTCACCATGGCTTCCGAGAGAGGTGATCGATGAGAGGCATGCGACGAAGAAGAAGAGAGGACGGCGGCTAAGAAAAGGGTGGCTAGTTAGTTTCGTTTAGGGCTCGTTTGATGATCAGGTTTCGTGTTGACAATCGAAGAGGCGGAACGAAAATGAAATCGAGCTTGAAAACGGAGGAGAAGGGGTCGTTTCTGATTCAGAGGAAAACGAGAGAGAGGGGACCAAATGCGGCAAAGGTTAGGCTTATCTTCCAAGTTTCGTTTGTATACCTCCATTACCTAGCCTCCGCAAAAGACAAATTTGCTTTAATTAGGAATTCACCAATTAGACTAACTGCTTATGCCATATAATTAGTTCTAATTCCCACTTAATTTAAACCATTTTTTTTATTATGAGGTGAAATCTCTTGATACTTATTCTCGTAGAATTGCTAATGCTTTTCATAACATAATTATCTATCAAAATGTAATTTTTCACTAAAACATACTTAACATAAATATCATAGTCAATAGAACATGGTATTATTTTGTGTTAGATTTCTTTCAAAACAAATAATCATTCAATTACACAATTAAAAGATCAAAGTATATTTCCTAAAAAAACTAAAATTATTATCTTAATCACGTATCAATAGAAACGTGTTAAGATCCTCTTTCCAAAACCAATCAACATAAACGAACTACGTGGACTTTGATCCCGACTACTCGGGTACGTAGGCAGCCAATAAGTTCGAGTCCAACTAACAAATTTTCTCCGCATTTCCATGTGAGAGACTCAACATTTAAAACTCTCAATTTCTAACGAACTACGTGGACTTTGATTCATACTATTCGGGTACGTAGGCAACCAATAGGTTCGAGTCCAACTAATAAAAAATCTGTCTTACTTTCGAGATTTTATGTCAGTAGGTGTATGATCAAACTTTATTAATAAATACATAATTAATTGAATCCTATAATTAAATAAGCAAGGAGGCGCAACTTATGAAAACACCTAACCCTTATACTATGTTTCCGAAGGAATGGAGGAAAAGGAGGGGAGGTGAAGGAAATTGGGAGGAAAGTGTTGTTTTATGGAAGAAAGTGGAAAGGAAAGTTTGTGTTGAGAAGTGCGATGAATATTTTTTTAATTGGATATATAATAGTTGTTACACCCCGACCTTTACTTAAGTCAAAATTTCCATTATGTCTTTGGTCCAAAATTGTCAAATTCTATCGTAATATCGATGAGGACTAAAAATGTGAACTCTTGGTTCAAACGGTGTCGAGTTTTGACATAAAATAAGCAAGTTACGAACATTTACTGAATTTCGAATTAAACTCACCCGTAATTGTGAAATCTCAAAATACCCCTGAACTTTTAAAACCCTAACCTAACCCTCCACTTGGCCACACCTATAATATACCCTAGAACTAATAGAACTCCCCCCAGCAGTGTACAAAGAAAGAAACCCACCCGCCCCTCCTCCGATCCCGATCCCAATCCGTACCGCCTCCTCCTTCGGCTAACGTCGTTGTCACAGGGAAAAGAACCCCCTTCAAGCGAGAACACTCGTCCCTCACCCCGTACAGTGGCGCTACCACAATGATCGTGTGGAAAAGGATCTTGCAGAACAAGAAGATTTCATAGCTGGAGGAGGAACTGAACTCTTCTCGTAGTTCGAATCAGAACTCGGCAATGACGACAATCAAATAGGAATAGAATGATGATGGGCTCTTGACGAAGTTTATGGACATGGGAACAACCCAATGGGGCCACGATGATGAGACAGGCAGCGACGCACGGGAAAAATGATTACTTCTCGCTCGGCGATGGTCGTCGACGAACAAAAGCTCATTAGGAGTGAATTATTATATCGATTGGCGGTGAAATATATGGGTTCTGCTAGCATCAGAAGGAGCTGAGGGAATGGCCTCGTTTCGGTAAGATCCCTAAACTACTCATATGAGATGGAGCTAGCAAGCTATGCAAACATGTGAGACCAGTTTTACCAATATAGACTCAAGGCTGACAGAGGAATATAACATGGTGGTGACATGATTTCACCTTTCACGCCGAGACATGATTCCACACAAGGGACAACTTGGTTGTGGGCGGCTGAGCTCACCTCAGAGCAGTGATTTAAGGTGAGTGTAAATGGGGTAAAATCTCTGTCGAGTTCTTTTAGTTTATGTCTTTTAATTCAGTTATTTTGATTATTTTCAAGTATGCGCGATTATGTTTGTGAGGCATCCCATCGCCTACTTAAGGTGAAGACACGCGTTGTGCTATGTATGTGATGTATGTTTGTATGTAAGATTAACCCTCGGGCGGTTTGCCACTACTGGACGCGGTAGATGGTAGGATCACTGCTGGACGGTGAGACGTAACGCAGCAGTTGATCGAGTATGATTGGGTCACTGCTAGACACGGCGAGACGTAACGCAGTAGTTGACCGGGCATGGAGTGGACGGCGAGATGTAACACAGTGCCATTGTCGAGTTTGGGTATGCAACCGGACAACAAGACGTAACGCGGTTGGCATACTAGGGTAGGGAACCGGACGACGAGACGTAACGCGGTGGTCCTCGTGTTTTGTGTTTGAGTTAAGGATAGAAGTTGAGAACTTCGATGAGTTAATGTTGAAATGAGTTAGTAAGGATGAAAGCGAGAACGAACTTCATCTAAAGAAAGGAAATGCTAATAACGTATTTTTAGTAAGGTGGTTGCTTAGGGCAAGACCTTAGGAAGTAACGAGGAGACTGGCCCCTCCTCACTCACCAGGTTGGGGAAGGGTTAGCCGATGAGGATTTCGAGAAGAGGCAAGGCGATGCGAGCAACCACACCAACATTGACGAGATGTCAAGGAGCCCACCGAGGAGCTAGAGTTAGTTAGTTATATTTTGTTCATGATATGAGTATATACTGGAGGTTCAATGTTCAAGATGTGTAGTTTTAATGGCCAAGGATTGAGTTTGCCCACGTGTTTAGGACATTTCATTTGAAAAGGATTCAATTATATTTATTTTAAATTAATTTTTGAGGTTGTTTTAAATCTGCTCCGGAGCCATGGTTATTTCGATTTGGTCAAAAGGATCGAGACGTTTTAATAGTAAAATAATTTGATTATATGTTAATATTCTACTTATAAAATGTGAATTAAATTTGTACTTTCTTTCTAAATCGCTCCAGAGAGTAGGGTATTTTGTTCTAAAGCCATGATTTAACCATATCAATTATATAAAAAAGAGACTTTATTATAAATAGAGACTTTATAATAATTGATCAAGCATTATAAATCAATTAAAAATTATTCAACTTATGTTATACAATGTTTAAAAAACACAACCATATCGGCCGGTTGGACTGAAAATATCGGATATCGAACCCAAAACAGTAGGCGCTTTTAGCGGTAGAAAATGATTGAGCTATAGTTAAACCACGATTTTTGTACAAAATACCATACTTTTCATAATTTTAAAAAAATATCACTTACTACCCATTAATTATAATATTTTTGGTGAAACTACTTTACATATTTTTCTCTCCATAATTTACTTCATCTTATAACTACTTGCTTTAATTAATTAAAGATAAATCATAAATGAATGAGACAGATGGAGAGAGAAAGAAACAAAAAAGGTAAAAAGAGAGAGTGTTTGGGACGCACAAGAGAGGAAACTCTCTCTTTTCTCTCCGATTTGGGGGTGCGGATAGCACATGGAATTTTCTCTCCTTCTCTCCTCCCCTCGTCACTGTTCATGGCTAAAAAAGCAGAGGAAATTTTTTGGGTTCTCCAACTTTCCACCCTAACTTTCCCTTTTCCTTTCCTCCTTTTCCTTCGTTTAAAAACAGAGTGTTAAAAACTTATCGATTTATGTAGTACCAATTTTGGACGTTGTGGGGTGTGAATACATTTCCCCACACGTAACCATACTCCTGAACAGAGAACTCTAAATTTCACAGACCAAAATTCAGTTTCGACCCCTATTATGAAGCCGTTTGTGATGTGGAATCTCGTGTTTTAAGCCGATTTCACGCTAGGTTGTGTGTTTATGTCATATTTCAGGACCCGGCGTTGGAATCGAGGCGGAGAAACGAGTTCTGGGTCGAAAGGAGCCGAGTTGGGACTAAGGGGGCTGCACGAGGAAAATACCCGGTCGGATGGCAAAATACCCGACCGGGTATTTATCGTTTATGGCACCCGTGAGAAGCAGAAGGGGCCCCGGGCGATGGCCTTAAATCCCCGATCGGGGATTTTGATGTTGGACCGGGGATTTTCCCCAAAGTGGAACGTCGCGTTTTATGAAATACCCGGTCGAACCCTGAAATACCCGACCGGGTATTTCGACCGGGGATCGAGAACGCAGGCTGTTAAAAGCCTGTTTTGTGCGTTTGTGAGGGAGAGAGCTGGGTTTTGGATCCCAAACACCCAAGGGACAAACCAAAGAGAGAGAGAGCGATTTGAGGGCATTCTTGGAGTGGAATTGGAGGATTTCTTCGCCATTGGAGCTCGGGAATCAAGCCCGGACTTGAAGACTGATCATCTTAAGATTCTTACTGCAGTCTCTCTCTTCTCTATGGAGTAACTTCCCTTCACTTAGGTTTTGAGGAACCCTAGCTATGTTTGTTTGATTGGATGATTGTATGAGTACTCTGACTTGATAATCTTGACTTCATATTCAATCTATGCATGTTTTCACGATTCAATTCTGCTTTAGTCGAGATTATTGATTCTGCTTTGATCCTATGAGAGCGAATACCTTATTAGGTCAATAGAGCACCATAGATTGATAGTAGTGGATCGATTGCTTTAGTCGAGGGTTGATTCACTGCTTTGTATCGATTGGGAACCTCATTCGATAGAGGGAGTCTAGTTCAGAACGCCTTGATCGATTGTTCTAGAGAAGGATACGTCCCTCTAGGCAATTGACTCAAGAGGGCCTTGTTCCTTTAGTCGAGACTCAAGGTCTAGTCAAGGATTCTCCGCATTGTGAATGAAAGTGAAACTAGTTAGAGATCATCAGTCGTTAATCTGGCTAGTGGCTAGGGGGAATCATACCTAAGTGAGTTCCCAACCTGTAATTAGATTAACTTTAACTGTAGTTTGCTAGAGTAGTCTTAGTTCTTTCAACCTAATCTGTTTTGCTAGATAATGAACTGAAGCTGAGTAATAGTAACTCTAGAGACCCGTGGATTCGATATTTATTACTTGAGCCACTATACTGCAGTCCCTTTCATTGGTTACACT